AGGCTAAAAGAACTACGGTTATTTAGTCTGAAGGGGATTTCCTAACAATCTTCAAATACTTGAAGGGTGATTATAAAGAGGATGAAGATAACCTTTCCTGTGTGGCTAGAGCTAGGGCCAATGGCCTCCAACCACCTCCTGAAACAAGAAGAGCGTTCAGTCTCTGTGACCCTTTCAGCCTTTGGCTGCCTCCAACTGCAGCAGAAGAAATTTTAGGTTGGAGATGTGGAAGCACTTCCTCATTATGAGGGCGGTCAAGCATTGGGACAGAAGCTGTGGTCTCTCCATCCCTGGAAATTTTAACACCTTGGGGCATGACACTTCCTCATCCCTTGGTGACCGTCATCTCCATAGACAAACAAGAAGGCTGAAGTCTTTTGTGAATGCTTGGGAAATTAAAATAAAAAATGAAGCAACTTTGGCCCCTTGTTCAAGGTGGACGTCACTCATGTTCTTCGTATTCTTCTGCTCTACTTGGCATTGGTCAGGCTGCAGCTGGAGTACTTCATCCAGTTCGGGGCACCGCACTTCAAGAAGGATGTGGAGGAGCTCGAGAGAGTCCAGAGAAGAGCCACTCGTATGATCAGAACCCTGAAAAGAAAGCCATATGAGGAAAGGCTGACAGATACGGGACTGTTCAGCCTAGAAAAGAGAAGACTTTGGGGCATTGGCGACATGTAGGGGGTGCATGTGGGTGCATGTGCACCCCCTGAGATAGACCGTACACCCCCTGGAAGTGCCAGCTGTGAAATTGGAAGTGCTGCTGGAAATGCATTTTTGGTTTTGCCACTGGCTTGGCGATTGGCTGCTGGGGGACACCCCTCCCCCGGTTGGCAGTTGCTGGCTAGGGGACACCCTCCCCCCCCGGTCAGTGGTCTGGTGCCCCCCCAGACTCGGGAGGCACCAGTCGCCCATGCTTTGGAGGGATTTGGGGGCAGCTGACAAATATATCAGGGGAGAGCATCAGGGGCTAGGCGAACAACTATTCACCAAAGCGCCCCAGGGGAAAACCAGGAGCAATGGTCATAAACTCCTAGAAGGAGGTTTCTGACTGGATATAAGAAAAAACTTCTTCACGGTTCATGTGATCAGACTCTGGACTAGAGTCCCAGGTGGGGTGGTGCAGGCACCTACCTTGGTGATCTTCAAAAAGAGACTGGATGCACACCTTGCTGGGGTTACTTGACCCCAGCAGTGTTTCCTGCCCGGAGCGGGGGGGCAGGCTGGACCTGATGATCCCATGAGGTCCCTTCCAGCCCCTAAACTTCTGCATGAATCTGTGCTCCATCTAGGCATGTCTCACGCCTTCGTTTTCCAGTTCTCCAGCTCAGAGAAATCGGCCTCCTGCTGCCCTGGTCCTAGCTTTCTGCAGCAACAACCAAGCTGGGTATTAGAAACACAGGAAGCCTCCTGGTTGTATTGATTGTTCTCCAAGGTATGGCTTCACATACCCAAGCTAGAGCGAAGAGCTGTAAACAAGCTGGAAACACTTGTAAAGTTGCTTTCTCTTGAACGTGTCGGGGGAAGCAGCCCAGGATACTTCTACAGAAATCTTTTTGTTCTGAGATGTGCTCATCCCACTGGCAAAGCGAACCTAGCCATGTAAAATAAGCAGAACGTGCCTTATGTCAGGAGAAGGCGTTTTCCTCTTTGCCCATGTTGCGCTCCCTGATGTAGGGGTCGTTTCACATTTACGGATGCTTTCTGCTTTCTCATGAACACCCGAATTCCCTGGGTTTCTTCCAGGCCTCCAGCCCTTAGCTTAAGTGGATGCATTCTTAATATCACGGTCTTAGTGTCGTCGTCCTGACTTTTGTCCCTTCTTCTTCACCACAGGATGCTGAAAAAGATCTAAGCTCAATACCATCTGACTCCTTTAAACCAGTTTTGTTCCAGTTTCATATCCAATGTCGTTCCGATCAAGTCTCTCTCACCTCCCAGCTTGTAAGTCCTTGTCTTAGTATCCTGCCAAAGTGCAGCGGCACGGTGCTGGAGAACTTAATAGGAGTTCCCAAACACCCTGCACTGAAATTCAAATTCTGCTGCTCAAGCAGTCACTCGCGCCCATTCAGGTCTGACATAAATAAAAGCTATCTGCTCGGAGCCTGACCTTGTCCACTGAAAGAACACTGCTTACAGGTAAGAAAAATTATCTTTCCTCCTCTTTCTTCTTGGCAAACAGTAACTTCTCTTACACTTCCAACCCTGGCGGGGAGGGCAGCTTGAAATGTTGAACCTGCACAACTAAGGTTCCAGGAATGTAAATGTCCCAGTTTGCCTTTCACCTGCTCCACTTTTTGGTTATGGATTGACTCTGCATCAGTGCTGGAAAGGAGAGCTTCATCTTTCCTTAATGCACTTAACGAGGTCCCTGTGATCGGTGCCGCAGTGCTACATACTGCCCAGATTATCGTCTACGCTACAGAAATGCCTCATGTGGATTCCTAAAGATAACATCTATTTTTAAGGTCTCATTACAATTGGATAAATAACGCCCCGTCTGTCCGACATGTTTGTTATCACACTACATTATGCTATAGTTTATATGATCTGATGCAGTGAGGAAGCGGCTATGGCCTAATGGGATAGACTAGAAGTCAGAATCCCTCGATTCTGTTTACAGCGATGTGACCCGGTGAAAAGTCACAGATATCTCCCAGTATCTACATTTGCCTACCTATAAAATGGGGTTACTAATATTTACCTATCTCCCATGAGTATTGCGTGGCTGCATGAATTACGAGATCTACGGAGTGCTTTGAGAAACTTGGATGAAGTATGTCAGTGTATAATATTAAGGTGTTATAATCTTCCTAAACAGTCTCTAAGGATCCTTAATGAGTGGGACACGATGATTTCAAAGGAAATCTTTTCTCGGCCCTAAACATTTTCTTTAGAGCCCAAAGTGAAAGCTGTTTCTACCAACTGCCATCTCTGTAACCATCTGGAATATCACATTTTCTGAAGCGCTCCTCCTCTTTATCAGCTGTAACTAAAGCTATAAAATGGGAAGATGTCCCTGGTTTAATTAACACCCCTGTAGTTCAAAAGCTGATGTTAGTAATGAGAAGCAATTACAGCCTTTACTGAGGGACAATCAGGTGGAACAAATCCAACATCCATCTTTGGGAGACACTTGTCCCCCAGGTAATTTGGAAGCTGCTTTTTGTACTCAACTGACAACCTGGCCTGATGCAACAGGTGGATTTGCAATTAATTATAGCAAATTATCTGTTCTATAATGTTAACAATAACTTGTTTCTGTTTTCTAGCAGACCTGTTTTCTGTCCTTGTCCTGCTGCCAGCATGCAGCAGTTTAAGGAAGGAAGTTAAGGGAGGAGGCCTTGTTACGTTTTTGAGGACATAGTTGCTCCCTGTCCCCCCCCCCCCCGCCAACCCTTTTTTTTCTAGCTTAGTTTTTCTTTTTTTGTTGCAAATTGCCTGGCATTCAGTAGTGGGCTCCGAGCCAAGTGCATTGATAAATGCTTGCTTCTGTAGCCAAGTGCAGGGTAATTTACTCCCACCCTCTGCAACAGGGGCCAAACTGCTACTTGTATTGCATTCAGTGTCCGTCGCACTGTCAGCTGGCTGAAAACATCAACTTCAAGCTGCAGTTTCGACTGGTGATGGGCAAATGTTAAAAACATTACCCAGAACATGACCAATGAACCAGCTAAGTTTCACATGAAGTCTTACTTGAAGGCTTAGGTTGGGCATTTGTCTTGCACAATTCCTTTGCACTGGAGCAAATTCCACGCTCGATTAAATTGAACATGGATAAATATCTACAAGCTGGGGCTTTTATCCAGCCCTCCTGTGCTTGTCCTTCATTGCCAGGGAAAAGGTCTAGATAAGGACAGAAGAATTGATCCATCTTGCCCAGTATGCTGTCTCCCCCAGTGGGAGGGAGTGGATGCTGAAAGGGAGAGCAAATTGGGTAGGACCAGGGTTTTTTCCACTGTGCCTTTCTTACCTGTAGCCTCCAGCATTTGGGTCTGGGACAGACATTGCAGAAACTGGTTTGAGTCAAATCAGATAAGGCTGATACTACGTTCAACCAGGTTTATTTCAAACCGGTTTCAGCCATTTTCAAACTGGTTTGTATGCACTGAACATCTGTTCTGTTGCAGGTTTAAACCAGTTTCTGATCACTTAAACCGGTTTCTGTGTAATGTCTGGCCCTAGCCTTAGGGTCTAGGATGTTCTGATTCAGAGGCTGTATCCCTAACCCGCATGCTCCGTAGCTAGTGAATGGAGCACTAGGGGCTACATCTACCATTTAAGACACTGGTTCTCCACCTTTTTAGACTCAAAAGGCACCTCTCGTTAGACTCAAGGTTCCCCCCATAACTTTTGTGAATTGAGCAGCACCCCCTTTCAAAAGCTAATTTATTAATTACTGTGCTTACCTCTTTGCAGAGGGGCCAGGCAGTGGGGACCTGAGGCTGCCCATATCTGCTTGTCTCCTCACACTTGCTGTGACACCCTTCAAAGGATCTTACGGTTCCCCCAAACCCCAGTTGAGGATCACGGATTTGGGGACGACTTAGAGACAGCTGGTCATCAGACCAGACTCCAAACTCCTGAGACTGGACCATCAGGTCCCTGTGCAGTATATGAGGAGAGATGGGCATCGCATGAGAACATGCTGACAAGAACGTGCTTTTCTTTAAACTGGAAAACAGCAGAGATCCCCCAGTCCTTCACTAGATCCTTTCTGCATGCAAATGAACACCTGGGTTTTCCTTTTCTACCTATATCAATACTTTCCCTCCCTCCCCCCCACCCTGCAATATCTGCTTCTCTAAAGCCTGGTCGTGAATGCTGGTATTAGCCGAGGATTTACATGTGCCCATTTGGGCAAATACTCTGGGTGGGAAAAATCTTCGGGATTGATGAGACGTTTGACTTTCTCTTTGCTAATGATTGTACTAACTCTAAAACGAGAGGGCATGGATAACTCCCCACTGATTCTCTATTCTTTTCATTTCTTTCTCCAGGTTATGGGCATGCTGCCCCGGGGACTGATGCAGGGAAGGCCTTCTGCATGTTTTACGCTGTCCTGGGGATCCCACTGACACTGGTCATGTTCCAGAGCCTGGGCGAGCGCATGAACACCTTTGTCAAGTACCTCCTGAAACGCATCAAAAAGTGCTGCGGGATGAGGAGCACGGAGGTCTCCATGGAAAACATGGTCACTGTGGGTTTCTTCTCTTGCATGGGAACCCTCTGCATTGGAGCGGCAGCCTTTTCCCAATATGAGGAATGGAGCTTTTTCCACGCTTACTATTACTGCTTTATAACATTGACTACGATAGGGTTTGGAGACTATGTGGCCCTGCAGACCAAAGGGGCCCTTCAAAAGAAGCCACTGTACGTGGCTTTTAGCTTTATGTACATCCTCGTGGGGTTGACAGTCATTGGGGCATTTCTAAATCTGGTTGTTCTCAGGTTCTTAACCATGAACAGTGAGGACGAGAGGCGGGATGCTGAGGAGCGGGCATCCCTGGCAGGGAACCGCAACAGCATGATTATCCACATCCAAGAGGACTCCCAGCACGGTCGGCCGCGGTACAAGGCCGAAGTAACAGACCTTCAATCCGTTTGTTCCTGCATGTGTTACAGGTCCCACGAGTACACCAGCCGGGTGGTGTCCCACCAAAATTCGTTCAGCTCCAAGCTGAACCCTCAGTACTTTCACTCCATCTCTTACAAGATAGAGGAGATCTCACCAAGCACATTAAAAAACAGCCTTTTCCCATCTCCCGTTAGCTCCATCTCACCTGGGTTGCACAGCTTTACAGATAACCACAGGCTGATGAAAAGGCGAAAGTCCATTTAAAGTGATCGGTCTTCTTTTGCTCTTCTTGTTTCCCCCAATTCTTTTTTGGTTCCTTGAGTGAGACGGAGCGAGGCCAAAGGGAGTATAAAAAGCCAGTCCTCCTCTGAGACTCCGCTCTTGAGCATGAAGCATGGATTATTACTGTTCCAGCAAAGTATGCCTTACATTACCCCCTCGGTGGATTTCAGAGGATTCGAGGTGACGCGAAGTGGGTACCAAATCCAAAGTTGCACACAAAGCTGGGAGCCTTCACGTGCCAGCGGCACTCCTGACCTAATAAACTCTTTTCCTCACAAGCAGGTTGCTGTGTGCGTGCGTGCGTGCGTGTGGGATGTGTGTGCGTGCAATTCCACAACTAGTGCCATGTGACAAAAACTCAAAGCATCAGGTATTCATTTTTCCCCTTGAAGCAATTGTGTTCCAGCCTGCTTTTAACTTTTAGATTGCTTCCAAAGGAACGGGGAGGGCGGGGGGGAAGGGGAGCCAATTTGTTTTGTTTCTGCCAAGTCGAGCATGCGCCAAAAGCAGTTAATATACCAGGTGTATCATGATAAATTTTTTAATGCTAGATTTTAGATTGTATTAACATAAAAAGAGGCAGGAAAAGATGGGATCATTTTAGCTTGCCGGTGGAAAGGTAACAAAAAATAAAATAAAAAATAAAAATAAAGCATGCACTTTGTAAAACTGGTATGCATTATAAAAACACAAGAAAAACTAGCAATGGAATTAATAATCAAAAGCAAATAATATTATTGATTTAACTACATTTTACTTTCACCATTTGCTACTGTTCCAACAATTTGCTGTTCAAGTGGATTTTTTTTTTTTAACAAAAACCCGGAAAATTGTTGGAACTATAGAGTGTCTATTTTGTTATTTTCGCTCTTATTTATACAATTTTATTATTATTATTATTATTATTATGGCTATTATTTTATTTTATTTTATTTTATTTTATTGTGCAGCAACTACCTGCATGAATAGGAGTTATATTTTTTGGAATGCTTGGATTAGGATTGGTATAACTAGGTGGATGTATATTTTTTTCTTATATAATAGTGACAGGGCATTCCTTGTTTTGAATAAAAAAAAATATAAAGATGATTGTCTCTTCAATGCTTTTGATTTGTAAATAATGGAAAGCCTTTGTTGGTCTCAGGAAGAATTCAAGGGACAGTATCTTGTGTTTTGGCCTACTGGGAACCTGCAAGAGTAAAATTGGTTTTGGTTTTTTGCTAGGCCGAGAGATAATGTATTTATCTGTAGGGGGCGAGAAATAAGTGCGCTCTGGTGTTTTAAAGGAGTCTTTTGGGACTGGAGTAAATTAGCCAGGTGGAATGAAGGATGATGGCACCACTAAGGGAAACCATTGCTTTTGAGATCGTTTGTCACTCAACGATCTGACTAAAACAGAGGCTTTGGGAACTGAATTAGAGGGCTCGGTCCACCTCCCACTGAAGATAATTGGAATTTGTAATGATGTATGCCTGTGGGATGTGTCCTGCGGGGTGTTTTACCTTTGACTCCAATGGGCAGGATCCAGACCCCACTGCACTGCTCTCTCTAAATGGATAATCCCACTTCCAGAGTTTGTTCAGTATTGTCTCCCTCTGCAGAAAGCATTCACTGGTTGGCACAAATCTTCTCTCTTGCTGATTCTGCTGTTTTTACATTCAGTGTAAAAGCAATAATTCCCCATACAGGCGCTAAGTGTACTTGGATGGTATGTTTTCTCAAGTTTTTAGTGCAAACCTCAGTTTCAAATCTGACCTCTGTGTGCTGATGGGGTGTTAACTGCTTTCCAAAGATTTATTTTGTCAGACGCATCAATAGGCAGAAGCCAGGAATTGTCCTCTCTGCACTCTTCTCCCTTGCTTTATACATTCGGTGAAGCCAAGAGGTATAATTCTCCCCTTCTGATATTTGCGTTTTCAATTCTTTCCACAACTTCCAAATCTCTGTATGACTTCCCCTCTGGGAGCTTTATCATTATGGCACTGCACAAAACCACTCAAAACCAAACCAAACAAAATCCTTTAATAATCCTCTCCCAATCTGCTGCTCTGCATTCTGCTCCCTGTCCTATCTGCTGCTGTGCTGCCTTGTCCCCTTCTCAGTCTGCCATGTGTCAGATAGAGGCTGCCCATGCTGCTTGTGGCATCCACGCTGCAGGTTGGTCACTAAGGGATCCAGTAGTCCCTAAGATCTATGAGGATGGCACATGGTTTGACCCAAGTAGGCATTTGGAAAGCCGTCTTAATGTTTTTGTTCACCGCTGCTTTGATAACCATGTAGAAATCAGATTTGAAAGGCGAGAGCCGCCTGGTCTTTGAGACCCACTGGGCACATCCACGTATGCCATTCATGTGACACAAGAAATACCAGCACCTATTGCACCAGAGTTTATTGCTCCTGGGCGCCGCATTTACATGTGCGCTTGGGACTGCAGCATGTTGGGTCAGGTTGGAGCAGCTCCAGCTGGCACGGAGCCCAGGGGGCCAGCCCAGAGCTTCTCCAACCTGGCTCAATGTGCTGCAAAGGGGCTGGCTGGGGTATGAGGGTGCTCCAGCGTGGGGCTAGCTGGCAGGCAGCCCCCGTGCTGAAGCACTGTCATGCCCCAGTCACCCCTGTCAGCGCCTACATGCAGTAAAGAACACTGCTGTAGGATAGATAGTACTTGTATTTACAAGTACTAACCTACAGCAGAGTTAATGAGTTTCCTGAGGCCTAATACTGCTGCACGTGTAGACACTGAGACTTTACTGCAGAGCAAATTAGGCAGCTCCACAGTAAACATCTCGTGTAGATGTGCCCGCTGTAACATAAGGCATAAATGTTGCTGATGCCATTGTAAGGGCCTTCAAGAGTAAGAATTACTTTGCTGCAAAGGAGATAAGAGACTAATATGCACATATGTAATATTCATGTACATAATGTGTGTGTATACTGTATATATTAGAAACTGGGGGGGAAAAAAACAGGTGTTTGGGTTTCATTAACCTCAAGTGTACCAAATTTTGCCTGTGTTTGAGAGGAGACTCTTTTGCGAAAACTGAAGAGATATGTGGTGAGAAACATTTTACAGATTATTTTTCAAAATAATGTTCATTAGCTGTATTTATTTTTACATGGGGAAAATAGCTTTCTAGTCTCTGCAGATGGAGTGCTCTGGGTGGCTTTGACTTCTAGATGTCTGGAGCTGTAGCATGTTCTAGGTCGTGTAGTATGGTGTCTCCCACCTGAAATGCGACAAATTCTGCCTAGAAAGAAGGTGCACATTTTAATAAAGAGCAGAGACATAACAATGAGGGTGCGTGGATGGGGTAGTTTTGCTGCCATTCTTGTGTCCCCTCTTATGTCTTGGGCATCCAGCCCTCGTTATGCTTATGATAATGACGGTATTTAACCATTGGGACAATTTATCGAGGGGCATAGCGAATTCTCCATCACTTGAAGTCTTTACATCTAGACTAGCTGTCCAAATGAAAGATCTGTTATGGAGTTCATGGGCTTGGTGCAGATATTACAAGTGAATTTTTATGTGGTGTGTTATGCAGAAGATCAGAGTAGATATTCAACATGGTTTCTTTTAACTTTAAAACTGATTAACATTGTGTGTGTGCATGTGTGTGTGTGTGTGTGTGCACGCACACATTTGGGAAAACAGTTTGCGGGGAAAAATATCAATGCCTTCATTTTTTCCCCCTTTCCCTGAAATCTCTATGGTTGTGTTGAAAAGATTTCTGGCTTCCTTTGTTAAATATGGCCTTCATGTTTCTTTGTTGAGTTCTTGATGCCGGACCATTAACCAGAGACAAAAAACTCCCTTTTTGTCTGAACACTTGTAGTACAGTTGCTTTGAGGCTATTTCTCTCTTGAACTGACTGGAAATGCCAGCGTATACTTAATGGTATACTGATATTGCGTGATGGGAAGAGCTTCAGGTGGTGCAAGCAGGGGAATATTAAAGCAGGTAGTCCCAAAATCAGAGTGAACGTGGAGCTGTGGGTGGTATAGTGGCTCTGATGTTTCTCCCTAGGTCCAAGGAAGGGAGTTGAGTCCTGATTGTGCATGAGTGATTTTCTGGTTGATGCCAGCAGCTGGCACTGCTTCAACCAGCCTGCCCACTGCTACGCGTGGTAGCGGGGAACCACACGTGTGCCATATCAGCGCTGAACTGAGAGGAGCTGTGCTGAGTGCTCTTCAGGTGCAGCTCCCGTTCAAAATGAGAATGTATGTCAACTCAAGGCTTGACTGTGCCCTATTTGTTTTCCTCTGATTTTAGTCCTTCACTATTAGTTATTCATGTCATATGGCTGGGCAGCTAAATTACGTGCTGTTGTTTCCATTCCCCCCTATTCATTGGTTAACTGAAATGTTTGTCAGATGGATAGGCAGGAGAATCCAAGATATATCAAGATGGCCACCCATATACTTCCTACACAAAGCCATGCTTGTCCATCTTTGGGTCTGGAAACCACATCCATTGGGCTTTGTGGAACTGGAATGGGCAGAGCACAAGGGAACTGGAATAGGGTGAATACTATCATGCATAAAAAGACCAAATCCTCTTTGCCTTACTCCCATGAGGATTTTTATATATTTCAGCAAGATGCTTCATGAGTAAAATGAACAAAAGGCAGTGCCCAAAGAGCCCCAATTCTCTGGACAAGGTCAAGAGTACGTAATATGTCTTCTCCATTTCTGACTCTTACGATTCCACATATATACTCTTCCTTTCCCCCGGTATCAGTCAATTTGTATGAATGCATTTGTTTTTCCATGCTTTAATCCACTTTAGATGTTATCTCACTGAAAAACAAGACTGCTGGCTTTATGTTCCCTCCCTTCAAATCCCTACCTTTGAAGCTCTAAGTGGGTAGAAGCACCCAGTACTAGAGTTAGTTATCATTAAGATATCAGACCACCCACAAGACCTGAACAGTGTCTCTACAATATATGGAAATGTGCACTGCCTTGTTGTCAGGTGTCTCTTCTCTGCCTGTCCTCATTAGTAATCATTAGAAATAATAATAATCACATTGGTCTATTTATGTCACAACAACGTGCTC